GAGAAATTTGATATTTCAGCAAAAAATGACATTTGCGCTTCATTACTTTAGGAGAGATGATATTGAAATGGCCTTCTATGAACTTTTTGTTTCCTGAATATAACTCATAAACCATCCAAGATATCTTTATGAAACCTATTACCGGTATAGTAAATGGGGCCTTCTATTACAAATTTCACAGATTGTATGGATTTGGTGTTTCCATGGAAACAAATTTGGTATACAATTAAGGTTCTTGGGAGATTTTCTTAGTGAGGCTGAGGCATGTATGTATAAAGGTTTTAAAAAAACTTTATTCGGAGCACATCTCAGCACTCCTTTCAAGATATCTTGATGGTAGTTGTGCCTTCTGATTACAGATTTTGTATACTACATCTATTAAGGGCCATAGTATAAGTAGTTCTCATTTTTTCCCCCGAATGAAACAGAAAACACAGACAACTTGACATTAAAGTGAACAAGGAATATTTGTAAATGTTATAGTAATATAATTTCGGTGTATTACCCTTCTTACAAGCAACCACAAACAGACAACTTGACCTGATATTATAATAATAAAAATAAAATGTAAATATTATTGTAATGTGATGTTTTGTTTATGTATTTCCCATGCTACAAGTACGTTTATATGTTATTCTATAATTTGCTAATGAAAAAGACTTGTAAATATGAATGTCACATCTGAATGTTGTGGTTGATCAAAACATTCTTGATTCAAAATATTCAACAGTGGCCTACTTTATGTACATATATGTTCAACAACAAGTTTTACTCAGTTTGGAATGTTCGATCCTTGCATTGGCTGAGAAAGTTTATTGGGATTTTCTGACGTGGTTCCCCCTTGTTAGTGGTGCAGGATGGAGGGCCTGACTAGAACCACTGTCTAGTTGTTCGGATGGTACAAAAAAATGAGATCTTGTGTGTATATATTGGCATTTATGTTAAAGATCCCTTTCGCAGTTGGAATTCGTTATAAGAGTAGGCCATAATGCTGCTGCCCGGACAAAATTTCCTTAATAATGTTCACCCTGTATGGTGTATGACCATCTTCATTAGCCCAGTCGGAGCAGAACAATAGGGCGTTAAACGCCATTTGATTTCATTTTTTCAGTTTGGAATAACCTTGTGGTTTCCTGTTACATGTAGCTTCGTCAAGTTTCGGTCATGAACTGTCCACAAGAAGTGAATAGAAAGCGATCGGGGACTAGACTCCATCGTGCTAGCACTACCGAGTAAAAAGACTCCTACACTTCCAATGTATGTTCGTAAATATCTAACTCTATTAGGCAGCTGATGTTGCGGTCATTGACTTTGATAAACTGAACAAAGGCATAATTTTGTATGATTTTTTAACAGGAAAAAGTTTAACAATACATTTCATAGCACATGTGATTTGAAATAGATCCATGTGACCAGTTTCATTTATCTTTTTTCCCTTTTCAAAAATATCTTGAGATGATATTGTTAAAAACAACTTGATTCTCAGCGTCGCAAGGAAGTTAGCAAGAATTGTTGGGTGTGATTTAATAGATTATGTGAACAAGTATTGACCAGTATTTTGATTTAGAGATAATAAACCAAAAAATTGCCAGCCAGCCAATTTTTGATGTAAGCTGTTGACCTCAGATTAGCAAAATATTTTTTCTGAAGAATGACAAAGTTTACTTTTACCCCCATTTTACCCATGTATGACTATAAATTTATTTGCATTTGTTGTGTTTTAAGGTTATATACATTGTGTTTTAAGGTTATATACGTGTACATTGTGTTTTAAGGTTATATACATTGTGTTAGAAGGTTATATACATTATGTTTTAAGGTTATATACATGTACATTGTGTTTTAAGGTTATATATGTTGTGTTTTAAGGTTATACATTGTATATGTTGTGTTTTAAGGTTATATACATTGTGTTTTAAGGTTATATACATTGTGTTTTAAGGTTATATATGTTGTGTTTGAAGGTTATATATGTTGTGTTTTAAAGTTATATACATTGTGTTTTAAGGTTATAGCCGTTGTGCTTTAAGGTTATAGCCGTTGTGTTTTAAACATTGGTACAATTTTAATGAAGCGCCATTATCACCAGTTAACCATTTCTTGAATAAATCAAATTATTATACTGCATAAAATTATTCATCTGACCAACCTTTCGAATAGGCTTCTCTTAGTCATTATGCAAGTAGTGAAGCCTAGCAGTAATTATATTTCATAGAACTGTGACCTGTATATTCCAGTTCAATTACTAAATGTCATTAAAAGCTATATAAGATATATTGTTCAGTTTCTACCGTGACGAAAACCAATAATTTATAAGCTAATGTTTGATTAACCAGATTATATTTGATTTTAAGTGTTGCCGTGACCTATTTTCTCTGATACTACATATTTTACTAGAGGTTATATCCGTCAACGTCTTTATAAAACTACAACATCAATTATATCAAAGAATTTCTTTGAGAATTAACTCGTTTGATTATACCCATAATTGGAATCACTTGATATCAAAATAATTTTGTACTTTGGAACGTCTTTATAAAACTACAACATCAATTATATTGAAAGAATTCCTTCAAATCACTTGATGTCAAAATAATTTTGTACTTTTGGAGTGTCGTACATAAGTGTTTTACTGTGAATTAAATTGAGCTGCCAGTGTTATTTGGTCATACATATTTATGTGCCTGTCGCCAGTTGGGAATATTGAATTTTTTTCATTTGGTGATAAGCTTCTCAATTGCTTGTTAATAGTGTGGGAATATATTTCAAGTGGATGTTTTTAATTTATAGTTATTGTGCTACATGTTTGGTTAAAGACAGAAGGTGAGGTTTATTTTCCAGGGGGGGGGGGGGGATGGCCGAATGGTTAGCACACGCGCGCTGTATCATACGGCCTGTCATTGAGTCAACTGGCATGGTTTCGAATCCCTGGTTGTACGTGACAAAGAGTAGGGTCGCCTGTCCAACATCGTGGGTTTTCTCCGGGTCCTCCGGTTTCCTCCCCCTGCAAAAGACCCCTACGCGCAAGTGAATTATTGAAATAAAATTAAACCATATGTTAGTCCCAAAATGACCTAGTTTGTGTCGAGTGGATGTTAAACCCCATTTCTCTATCTCTCTTTATTTTCCATGTTTACAAGGGATTCGGGGTGGGGGGAGGGGGTGGAGAGAGAGAGAGAGAGAGAGATGGGGTTTAAAGTTCACTTGATACACTGAACTGCCAATTGATAGTATAAATATCAATCTGATCCTCTTTTGTTTCGTTTTTTATAGTTCGAAATTTCGTTTTACTTATCTACACTAGGGTCTGGAAGAGCTGTTGTACATGTATAACCTGCGTTCTTGTTGATATGAGGGATTAGCCAATGAAATGGTCTGTTATGGCGAGTTTTTAGCGTGAGGTGCACGCAACTGTGGGTAAACCACTAGAAACGTCAACGCTGATTGATTAATCAAATGTATTTGCGTCATAGGGTCAAAGTCGCTCGCTCGTACAACCGGTCAGATCTTTATGTCGTGTAAGGTCATCGAAAGTATAAAAAAACTAATTTGAATGAGATTGTATAAATATATGATATATTTGTATTGACTGTAAAGATTTCTATTTATAGAAAGATAATATCAAATTGTATGTGTACATGTATATTAGAGTAGATATATGTATATACAGTAAGAAAATATTGATTAAAGTTCAAAGATATCTTATAATTAATTTTACTATCAGGTCAACAGGTCAACTCTACTTGAATGGTTATAATATAAAACATTTTGAGAGAGGGAGAGAGAGAAAGAGAGGCTAACATGGGGAGGACGTGGAGAAAAGAGAGGTAGAGAGAGAGAGAGATTTAAGTCCACTCCCCACAAACTAGGTCATTTCGGGACTAACACATGGTTCAATTTTATTTCAAAAATTCACTTCACGTGCTGGGGTCTTTAGCAGTGGGAGAAAAGCCACGAGGTTGACTCAATGACAGACCATATGAGAAATGGGGTTCAACTCTAGTTACACAAACTAGGTCATTTCTGGATTAACATATGGTTCAATTTGACAGTTGACAGTTTATATGATCAATACCTGAACCCCTATTATATTACACATAAGAGTAAGCCGTAGCACCGCTGCCCGGGCAAATTTCCCTCATAGCACACTGTATGGCGTATGCCCGTCTTCATTAGCCCAGTTCAGGAGCAGAACAGTAGGACGTTAAACCCCATTTCATTTCATTTTCATATTATTACATATAGGTTTCCAAATGAACTAAGTGTGAGAGAAAAATGGGGTTTAACATCCACTCGACACAAACTAGGTAGTTTTGGGACTAACATGCGGTTCAATGTTTATTTTCAATAATTCGCTTGCTCATATCGTGGGTTGGGGATGGGTGGGGGTATGTCCTTAGCACGGGGACTAAATCGGGGGAACCCGGAGAAAATCCATGATTTAGGCAGTCGACCCCACCCTTTGTCTATAGGATTGAAATTAGTCCTTATGATGTAAAATGCACATTTCAATGAATTGGTGATCGTCCATATCAGTGTAAAAATAAATAATGTGTTATTTAATTACATGTATGTTCCAATTACTAAATGCCATTCAAAGTATATGACTGTTTATATAGAGTTAGCTCCCTTAGTATAGGTAAATGTATTATAATAATATATAAACTATGATGTTTCCATGTTACCTACTGTACATGTATACCTACACTGAGAAAATGAAATCAAATTTTAGTAAGGTTACCAATCATTAGTTTGAAAACGGTGAGAGAATATCCTTTGAAACCTTGTCAAAATGAAATGAAATGAAATAGGGTTAACGTCCTACTTTTCTGCTCCAACTGGGCTAATGAAGACGGGCATACGCTATACAGTGTGCTATGAGGGAAATTTTGCCCAGACTGTGGTGCTACTCTTGTATCTAATTCCAACTGTCATTTCCATTCCAGATAATTAAAGAATTTTAGTATTGTTATGCAGCACAATGAAAAAAACAAACAAAAACAAATTGGTCACGTTTAATAAAGTTTTGTTCAATCAATAAATTGGTTTTGGACAAGCTTAACTTAACTTTGTGGAGACTCTTCATCAACCATTCAGTCTCATTTATAGGCCCCCTTCTTCACAGAATAACAATATGGTGATGTCATCTTGTTTTATTGTCTGCCATCAGATCCAAATTGACGGCAAATCTGTAATTCTTCAATTCTGAAAATAAAAAACAGTTAAAAGGATAATTTATTTGTGTTGTCTTGTTGGTGGTATCAATGTCTGCAAGTAGAGATTGGCGCCAAATCCATACTACTTCAAAATCTAAAATGATTAAGACAAAAAAAGTTTAATGAGTTGACCAGATGGCTGTCAACCTCGTATGATGTCATGATGATGTCATTAGATTAGTACAAGTCTAAAAGTTAATTTGACTCGGTCATATTGACATTCCTGTAATTTGACATTGCTGTTTAAATTAAACTGTATTTTCTGAAGGAGTGAGGTGCTTCAGCAAGATTGAGCTTATTAAGAGAACTGATATGTTATAGTGGTTGGTGAAATAATATTGATCGGAGATCCACGGTATCGTCAGGTCTGAATGAAGTCTTTTTATAGGCCTACGCTGACCTTGAAATGTGGTCGAATATTGTCGCAGCCCCCTGTCTGTCCATCAGGTTGACCAGGGTCCACAATTAAGAAAATGCTGCTGTCAGGGCAAAATTCCCCTCATTAGCCCAGTTAGGGGGGTTGGATGGCCGAATGGTTAGCATGTGCGCACTGTATCATAAGGCCCGTCATTGAGTCAACTGGCGTGGTTTCGAATCCCTGGTTGTACGTGACAGGGAGTAGGGTCGCCTGTCCAACTTCATGGGTTTTCTCCAGGTCCTCCGGTTTCCTCCCACTGCTAAAGTCCACTACGCGCAAGCGAATTATTGAAATAAAATTAAACCATATGTTAGTCCCGAAATGACCTAGTTTGTGTCGAGTGGACGTTAACCCCCTCTCTCTCTCTCTCATTAGCCCAGTTGATGCAGAACAGAAGGAGTAAATATATGAGTAAAAGTACGAAATTGTAAAAGCGAAAATTAATACTGGTATTATTTCTTGTTACTCAGCATATTTTCTCTTATTGATTTTAGTTTGTAAAGATTGTGTCTAGAAAATTGATTTATATTGAAATGTTTTTATGGACTAATTTACACAAAAATCATTAATACAAGAATTATGTTTTTCGATAAAAGAAAAATATTCCACTAATTCTATGAATAACAATCTATAGGCCTACATACAGTGTATATTTATAGTCCTGTTTTGATTCTATGAAGAACAAACTTCTATACATGTATTTATAGTTGGTTATAAACTGGTTTAAGTTGTTGATTAATGGAAGTTGATTATCTGATAATTGGGTAATGAGAGTTACTCGCCCATTAATCACATTAAGTAGTCCTACTTGGGTTGTAATAATCCTGTTTGTTTTCAATCCTAACTACAGTACAAGAAATATTGAGAAGCTCATTTTGACTGCTACATAGGCCAATGTCGATCAATTCTATGTTTTGTGGTCTTTTTCTAGATCAAGCAACACAATGTTATTTTGATACGAAAATGAATGGGGTTTAACGTCCTACTCCGACTGGGCTAATGAAGAGAGGGTTATATTGATACAGTCCATTCTTCATGGAGAGTGTTTTTAATACACAAAAAATAACAATCTTTACATTAAAATAGTAGGCAATGAAATGAAATTGGATTTAGCATCCTGGGCCCTTATTCACGAAAACTTAAACTAAGATACAATCGAAATTTTAAGAAATACTGCAATTCGATTGGCTGACCAGTAAAATCAATTTGCAAATTATTGAAATAAAATTAAACCATGTTATTCCCAAAATGACCTAGTTTGTGTTGAGTGGACATTAAACCCCATCTCTCTCTCTCTCTCTCTCTCTCTCTCTCTCTCTCTCTCACCATTAACTGTTCTGTCATGTTGATTTGTTGTCTGTTATGTTTTTAAGTGTATAATTCTAGAAATAGAAACAGTGTAAATATATTTATAGAACTGTTTTTATCACAATTTTTAACATTTGGCCTAGTGAATACAAGGAGTGTAGATAAGTCATCCACTGTAAGAACCAGTCAACATGGAGTCAATACAGAGGTTGGGATGATGAGTCAGACTGTCTGTAAAATCAGGAATGTTTGACCATTTTTGGAATCTTGGTGCAAACCCTGTGTGGAAGCTACCAATCTTATTAAGTGTGCGTTTATTGAAAGCTTCTACATTCTGATTGGTGCACTACTGTGCAGTTATGGACCAGTTCATTACATGTCTGGGGGGGTTACAGCTTCTCAGTTTTCGACATAGATATTTTTATTGAAGCCAGGCTATGTCAATATAATTTTTACTAGAGCTGTTAATATATTATGTGAGAAAATAAACCCTCAATTGATTTTTCCAACCCCCTAATAAATTATTTTGAATAAATAACAAAAGATACAACAGAGAAGAACAAGTCATATTAGTTGTAGACAAGAATTTTGAATATGGAAAATATTTAAAGATAAAATAAAATGAAAGGGGGTTTCTATATGATACAGTAGTTGTGGAAATGATATTGTAGGGGTCCAACGGTTCAAGAGTGTTGTTAAAACCATAGAAATAACTGGGCCAGCTGTCTGAGGTTCCTCTCAAAGTCTAGGATTAAAGAGAAGGAGAAGGTTGTATTGTTAATTAGGGATAGTTTTATAGGATAAGACTTTAAACTTTGAGAGGTTTGTTTTTACTTTTATACTCACATAATATAGAAATCCATTGATAACTCTGGATTTCCTTTGTTTAGAAAATCTGAATTTTTCAGGTTCCTGGAACCATTCATAATTTAAGATTGAACTATTTTGAATTCTCTCGTTCTGACATTTTGGTAGTCTAGTTCCAATTGTGCCAGGAATCATGAAACTATGTAAGCATGTCTTGGTGTTTGTTGTACTAGTGTAAAGACTATGATAAATACATTATATGTATGGGATTGATTTTGGCTGATCTCCAAATGTTGTTGGTACAAGTAGACGCCTGTAGGTAGAGATCCCTGTTGGGAGACAATTACTTCATTCATAGATTATCAACCAGACGTAATATTACATAGCTTGTGTTTAATAGTTATTACTGACACATCTACACCTGTGGGGATTACACAAGTTTTATGGCTACATTTTAACTGTCGGCTAATTTCTTGTCTGGATCCCTGCATTGGCCGAGAAAGTTCATCCAGATTTTTAGGCGTGGTTTCCCCTTGTCAGTGATGCAGGACAAAGGGCCTGACAAGGACAGCTGTCTAGTCGTTTGGATGGGTCGAAAAACCGAGGTCCCGTGTACATATTGGCGTGCACGTAAAAGATCCCTTGGCAGTTGGAATTCGATATAAGAGTAGGCCGTAGCGCCGCTGCCCGGGCAAAATTTCCCTCATAGCACACTGTATGGCATATGCCCGTCTTCATTAGCCCAGTTTAGGAGCAGAACAGTAGGACGTTAAACCCCATTTCATTTCATTTCATTTCATTTCTTGTCTGAATTTTGCTTTCTTTATGTAAATTTTGACAAAACGTTTTCAAAATCTGCCCAAGGCCATCCCTAATACATTACTCAAATAGCAAACTGACCATAGCCAGTAGTAATACGAGGGAGTGGGGCATTTTTTTGGCATTCATGTTTGATGTGACTCCCATTTTTGTGTCTCAATATTTCATTGTTCCTAACCCTGAATTTATAGGTTTTAATCTTAAATACCTGACCCTAACCCTAACCCTAATAGAAAGTAGGTAGTTCCATGTGGACACAGTATGGACGTGATGGAATGTAAAAGTGATGGAAATAGAAAAGGGAGTTGGATCAAACATGATCGCCCATTTTTTGTAAAGCATTACTTTTTCCCATTTTTAAAATCTGCTCAAGACCCTCCATAGTAGACTACATAGTTCATCTAACCAAACTGACCACGGTCAGTAGATTCGGTGACATATTTTGTAAGGCGGTGTTTTTCCCCATTGAGGTTGTAAAAGCATGCCGGACACAGTTTTATTTTTGCATGAAAACACTGCTTACTGTTGGGAATTTCCAACCACTGAAATGTTTTGTGTTTGTAGTGGTGCTGAGAGGGGTGTGCTGTGAGGGGGATACTGAGAGGGCTGCCTCTACATGTAGCTACATGTATGACCATAGCATTGCTGTGACGATAAGTCAGTTACTAAGCTGTAATGGTACTATCCCCCCCTCCTCGTTAAGTAGTTTTATGAATGAACCTACATGTTTGTTCTGTGTTTAATCAATATATTTTAAAAACTTAATTATTGTTTATTATCCCTCACCAGACAAAACAATATGTTTTTCACGTTTAGTTGGAATTGGTTTTTGCACACAATGGTTTAGTTAAAAACATGGTATTGTAATCATAATAATTTTGTCTAGGTTTTTTCAAGCTTCATGTAATAAAATAGTTGTAGAATAATGAAGTATGGAGTAGATACATGCAACACATGTGTAGAAGTGAGAATTACCTAATTGTATTTATTTAAAAATTAGCTGTTTATATAAGAGAGAGAGAGAGAGAGAGAGAGATGGGTTTAACGTCCACTCGATACAAACCAGGTCATTTCGGGACTAACATATGGTTCAATTTCACTTGCACTTAGGGGTCTCTAGCAGTGGGAGGAAACCGGAGGACCCAGAGAAAACCCACGAGATTGGACAAGTGACCCTACTCGTCACGTACAACCGGGAAATCGAAACGATGTCACTTGACTCAATGACAGACCTTATGATACAACGCGCATGCGCTAACCATGCAGCCACCCCCCCCTTCTGTTTATAAGGCTGTGCATGGGTAGACCCCAGCGATGCTTCCTTATGTTATCTTCGAGAAACTGGAAGTACTCTAAAAACGGAAGTAGTAGTAGTAGTGCAGCACTACATGTACATGTACCAGGTTCATGTCACTCCCGGACTTGGAACTGCTCTTGTACCCTCAATTTCATCTGGGTACCAGCCCTGGGGTAAGGACCAACCCCTAGAGAGAGTTCATTTTAGGACTAATATAAGGGTCAGATCTATTTCAATAAATCACTTGCACGTAGAAGTCCCTGAGAAAACCCACGAGGTTTGACAGGCCACCCTACGTCATGCGTTAAGCCACTAGACCAATCTCCCCCCCCCGCCCCTAGTTTGTGTCGGGTGGACGTTAAACACCATTCCTCTCTCTCTCCCTAAAGCGCTTTACAAGTGCCATAGTGTGTAACAAACAATATATTTTTTGTTTAGCCATTAGCGTGCTTTCAAATTGATAATCACTCTGGTCCAGTTAAATGTCGATTGTCTGGGTTATAATCCTCCCTATTAGAAACGAATTAAATATTTTTGTATGCACGCTCATATAGTTGGGGAATTAAAATTTGGATATAAACCCAGACACTCAAGTAGCATAATCATTGTGACCGCTTGAAAACATGATGTGTTAACAACCTATCTATATATAGGGAAACATTCATCACATCACCCAAGACAAGATAAGGGCACGTTCTCTCTAATATTGGGTGTCGTATGGTCTTTTGCATGTGCTTTAGATCTTGGGGTCTGTTTTTGAGTCAAGTGGCATGTTTCGATCCCACACTCGTATGTGAGAAGGAGTAGGATTTCCTGCCACATAAAGACCCATATGTGCATGTGAAATATTGAAATTGAAAAGAGAATGAAATGAAATGAAATGAAATGAAATGGGGTTTAACGTCCTACCGTTCTGCTCCTATACTGGGCTAATGAAGACGGGCATAAGCCATACAGTGTACTATGAGGGAAATTTTGCCCGGGCAGCGGCACTGTCGCCTACTCTAATATCGAATTCTAACTGCCAAGGGATCTTTTATGTGCATTCTAATGTATACACGGGACCTCGGTTTTTCGTCTCATCCGAATTGTACTGTATGTTAGTCCCGAAATGACCTAATATTTGTTCATTGTGTTCAGTGAATGTAAATTAGATTTAATGACAACAATTTATTCTGGCTTGAATAAAGAAATCTCTACATGCACCTTAAATTGAAAGTTTACTTCACAAAAAAACAAAGAAATAACGTTTAAAAAATGAGTCTATATTTTGATAGCGTGATACGCATACATTGTGGGGCCAGCTTGAGATTTGACATGTAGTCGAGTAGCATGTCACACGACCCTGTCCTGTACAGAATTTTAATTTTGGTATAAGAGGTCTGACATATTATGTTCGGCTGAGTGGGTGGGTTAAATTTTTTAAATATTTGTGGAATCTGAAGGTTAGAAATGTGAAGTAGCATATATTAAATTTCCTGAAACAAAGAACGGTTTGTTTTCCTGTGAAGTTGATATACATGTGTACTGGAGGTCTTATCTCGACGGCCATATACATGTACAGTAATGTCCCATATAAAGTCCTATCAACTTAGGTTTGTTTTCAAGTGCAGAAGAAACTTAATTGTATAAAAGATCTTATAAGGTTATGTGCATATATGAATAAAAATAATAGAGATATACATGAAACTAGCAAACATACATAATATACACAAATACTCAACTTTACAAAGACATGTACATAATTATACAGAAATACAAAACTTACAAATATATGTACATAATTATATACAGATACAAAAATTACAAATATGTACATAATTATACATACATGTAGATACAAAACTTTATACATAATTATACATAAATACAAAACTTTATACATAATTATACATACATGTAGATACAAAACTTACAAATATATACACAAAATTATACAGAGATACCAAAACTTTATACATAATTATACATACATGTAGATACAAAACTTACAAATATATATACAAAATTATACAGAGATACAAAACTTTATACATAATTATACATAAATACAAAACTTACAAAGACATAAATACTCCTTAACATTTTAAAATTTCTACATTTTTATTCATCATCAGTATTTTAAATTGTTGTAAATCTTTCAATTTATCAGCATTTCTATATATGGGGGATTGGATGGCTGAATGGTTAGCGTGTGCGTGTTGTATTATAAGGGCTGTCATTGAATCAACTGGCGTGGTTTCGATTCCCTGGTTGTACGTGACAAGGGTTTTCTCCGGTTTCCTCCCATTGCTAAAGACCCCTAAGCGCAGGTTATTGATCAAAATAAAATTGAACCATATGTTGGTCCCAAAATGACCTAGTTTGTGTCGAGTGGACGTTAAACCCCATTTCTCTCCCTCTAACATTTGTATTACAGAGTGACTTTTCAACTAGGCTTTTCTAGTCATTATCAAGCAATGAATGATGAAATATAACAAGACAATATGTCGAGTGCGACCATAAGTAATATATTGATATTGCATGAGGGCTATATCTATGTATATTACGCAATGTCTGGTACAAGACCATTCAACAACGTAAAGTACATGTAGAGACGCTAGCACGTGATTTGCAATGAAATACGTCACACGGGTCCAAAATTTCAACTAGTTTAAATAATGTACGCTTGGCATATTGCCCGTACCATTATTTGAAATAATGAATCCCAAGGAAAAGACGATAAAACCCCACACTCGATAGAAATAGATGGGCGGAAGATTCCCTATAACAGTACAGGCAAGTTTGGATCTCAGTGATGCAGCCGAGGAAGGGCACATCGCTCGAAACGCGTTCTGGAAATATATTCTTTTATTAACTAACACAGTCTTGTCAAGTTTGTTGCCGGGGATATTCTACTATGATTTGAAATAATGGTTACGCCAACATCAAAAGATGAAGTCACATTGTAATCAACAATACTTGGTTTATTTCGACTATATTAGCTTAATGTTGTTGAAGCAAGAAAGTTTCCATTGGTAATGTTTATATTACTAAAGCATTTAGTGATTGGTCACTTTGTAAATATTGGGATATTTCATTCATTCATTGACATTCTCCATGCTGCGTCTATGGCTGAGTTAATGTTTTTGAAGACCATAAAGATTAGATGTTTTTATGTGTTAATTTACAGCCAGCTTATTGATTGTGTAATACTAGTGAATAGGCCATCGTAGCAATAACAGTGATGTATGCATGGTAGCTGGGGGGTGACTAATCTCCTACCTTACTCACACTGAGCCATCAGATTATACACACACATAGTGAACTCTTGAAACGTTCCCTGTATTTATAACATAAACTGTCAGTAAGATACAATCAAGCTTAATACATCCTGCTATAAGGAAGGGCTGAGAGGTCAGAGGTCATCGTCTAACATGTAATAGAAAGTGGATACTGAATCAGTATAGTAAAAAAATCATTTTCGGTGTTTAAAGTTTAAACAGGAAGTGTTGTACAGGAGATATTTTTCGATATTTGGGACGTTTGTGACTGATTTAGATAAAGGTGATCACTGGTATTGATTTCTCTCCGTAAGTTTTTATTTAATTGATTTGATTTATGGATGTTTTAAACAAGAAATATTGATATTTATTTATAAAAAAACAACCATGTCCTGTTGGGTTGGGAGGGAGTGGATGGCCGAATGGTTAGCATGTGCGAGCTGTATCATAAGGTCTGTCATTGAGTCAACTGGCGTGGTTTCGATTCTCTGGTTGTAGTGGCAAGGAGTAGGTTTGCCTGTCCAACCTTGTAGGTTTTCTCCGGGTCCTCTGGTTTCCTCCCACTGCGCAAGCGAATTATTGAAATAAAATTGAACTGGCATTAAACTAATGTTTTTGATTACAATCAATTACATAAGATCGTCTTACGTCCCGTGAATATATAAACTGAAATTTATTTCTGAATATTTTACCTAAAATTAGAATATTACTTAAAGATACATTAGTTAAGAGTTCAATAATGAAATGGCCATTCTTACTATAATAGTTCAAAAATTGATGATAAAATAGATGATTTAGCTCTTGCATAATGTATGTTTAAATTTGGATGGAATTTTCAGGCCCACTATAATATTACCCTTATATTAATAAATTACAATTTAAAGGTACTGCTGGTGATGATTTGACAGTTTTTGAATCACTATGATATGTACCTGAAGCTATTGAGTGACAAAGTGCTCCATAACTTTCATCATATTTTCTTTATTGTTGAATGCTATATAGTCACAAGTTTGCTGACAGTTAAACAGATTTGGAAGAGAGTTCCTTACTGATGTTCTGTTATCTGTACATATTATTACAATTGTATAGATTTTAATCTCTTAACAAAATATTGGTTCAAAAATGTTTCATTTCTATTCAAAACATTGATAGTTTGACTTTTATTTTCTTAACCAAATGTTAAATATTCAATCTAAACAATATGTTAAATAATGAATCTTAAAGGATCAATACCACTCTTGTTGTGACTGAATAATATGTCCCAATCTTTATTCTAGTCAACAAATTGTACTATTTGTCCCTTTAACAAAATGTTAAATATTCAATCTGAACCAAATGTTAGATAATCAATGTTGAGTACATTTTAGCGTGAATTTAGCTGTGAAAAATTAGATATCCTCAAACAAATGTATGATTGGAATTAGCAACTTTGATATTTAAATCTACATGTAGAGTCAAAGATTTAACATCCATCGTTTTTACCGGACCAATAGACAGTCTTTTCGCAAAATATATTCTTATCCTACCAAAAAAACAACAACTCAAATATAAGCCAGACTGATTTATATTGATATAAAAAAACAGTAGTTTAATGACACATTATAACATGCATCAAATTGTACTATTTATTTATGGTAGTCCTGATCAGAGAAAATATTGTCAGGAGGGATTATATCCCCTATTTATTTTCACGACTTTGGCATTCAAAATGCGATTCCCCCATTTCATGTAAAATAAAAACCTATACTATATTCATTTATACAAATATTTAAACTATTTATTTATGACTAACATGTAAATATTATAGTTTATTGATGTTTGATTGGTTGACGTGAATAATGTTTATTGATCTGTGATTGGTCAAGTATTTGAATTATTCAGTGTATTGTTATAACTATATTGTGTATGAAATATGTTAATGCATGTACATTAAGACATTAACCTATATATTACACAGTGTATAGTCAGTGATATTATTAGTCATTCAACATCATACAAAACATTTAATAACTTATCATTTATACATGTTTGTTAAAATGTTTTTTGATTTTTTCTGATTTAATGGATGTGAAGAGTTTGATTGATATTTGTAGTAATTTAAATATACAAAATATTCAATATGTTTGTTAAAATGTTTTTTGATTTTTTTCTGATTTAATAGATGTGAAAAGTCTGTTTGATATTTGTAGGAATTTAAATGGATGTTATTTTGGTTGTGATCAGATAGCGTGTCAGTCATATTTTTGGTTGTGAGCAGATAGCATGACGGTCATATTAACTGATGGATTAGTCATTTCTACTTGAGGGAGCCATGGTGGCTCAGTGAATAATATGCTGGCTCACTAACCTGGAGGTCCATCCGAATGACTAAACCTTGTCCCTTGTCTGCATCCTCTGACAAGGGGAAACACGCTGGAAAATCCAGCCAACATAGGATAGTGATCAAATGTCTTACTCACTGAGCCACTGTGGCTTCCTAAAATGACATGATAACAACAGTCTTTACGTTAAGTACACCTAGGTTTGGAGGGTAGGGAAAATCAAGATCCCCTATTACATATCATTTCTTAAAGTAGCTAAGTATCTAACTCAATATCACCCAAAGTCTTACACGTTGAAAATACGAATTATTTGTCAATTCAAATCAACACTGATGTTGTGATCTTACCAGGAAAAAAGACAGGCTTCTGATATCCAATATTTAAGACAAAATAAACATTTTACCATTGGTTAACGAATCATGTACCATAGTGCCTTTTAGCGTCATTTGCAACAAGTGACCAGAAAGAACGAGGCTAGACATATTCAACTGGGGAGCCTGCTCAATAGACTGGAATAACCAGACGCTAGAAATTGCTATAGGGTTGAGACACATGCCATATTTCGCTGGACATAACTGATTTGAAATTAAGAGTCAAAACGGAAACAATTGAATGTAAACCAGTTTATGTACAATCAGATTACATTATTATATGTGTTGCGACCCATTTGGGTCAATTTCTAGGTCCCAAATATTAGCGACTTAGCTCCTTTAACATTAATACACATGTGGTACATGTATACGTATATGTAGAATTATATAGGTAAAAAACCTGGGGTGTTGTGTCTTTAATTGACTTTACACATTTGTAATAAAATTTTAAGTAGAAAATTAATGTATCATATTATAGCGTGATAATAATAATCCTCTACTGGTACATGTAGATCATAAATCATAAAAGTAACATTATTATCATATCAACATTTGGACGTTTTTATGGTCTTTAATAAATTCTTAGTGGGATAATTCAGATTATTTGACCCATTTCTTTGTACTTTGTAGCATCCATTAATAGATTGTGATGTGATTATAATTGTAAATAGGGGATTCGATGGCCGAATGGTTAACACATTGGATCATGATGTCTGTCATTGAGTCAAGTGGCATGGTTTTGACTCCCCGCTTGACAAGGAGTAGGGCTGCATTTCCAACCTCATGGGTATTCTCCGTGTTCTCCGGTTTCCTCCCACTGCTAAAAAAAACCCTACACACAAGCGAATTATTGAAATAGAATTGAACCCTGTGTTAGTCTTTTCTACCCCCCCCCCCTCTCTTACTCTCTTTCAGTTCATTTCATTTCATTTGGAAACCTACATGTAATAATAGTGGTTCATGTATCAATCATATACTATGATATACACTGACAACTTGTACATCTGTTTCATTCCCAGGTTTGAAACAAGTATCATTTTAGTTTCGGAATAACCTGTTCAGTATATATTAGGGTACCATTTGTAATAAACTGTCATATTAGTCTCGGAATAACCTGTTCAGTATATATTAAGCTACCCATTGTAATAAACTGTTACATGTATGTTAGTCTTGGAATAACCTGTTTAGTACATATTAGGGTATCGGTTGTAATAAACTGTCATATTAGTCTCGGAATAACCTGTTCAGTATATATAGATATATCCACTATAATAAACTGTCATGTTTCAATGGTTAGAATCATCCTATGTTTTACTGTATTTGTGTTGTAGACGATGACCTGACCTCACTTCATATCTCTAGTCAGGTCAATTTACCTCGAGGCCTGGGAAAGTAATTTTATTTAACATTCATAACATATGTAGAACAAGAGTCTCACAACATCTGTTAGTTAGATTGTATGGAAATATAGGTATTATATTCACTCCTGTTGTAGCAGATGATATACATGTAATTAAACATTTGACTATTTTATACTATAAACTCATATTAACATTCACCAGAAATTAAATTCAATGTGCATGAAACCTGAATTCTACTCAGTTATGAAATGAAATGAAATGGGGTTTAACGTCCTACAGTTCTGCTCCTAAACTGGGCTAATGAAAACGGGCATACACCATACAGTGTGCTATGAGGGAAATTTTACCAGGACAGTAGCACTATGGTCTACTCTTATATCGAATTCCAACTGCCTGGGGATATATTACTCTAATCAAAATAACCAGTTTACACATTGGTGTATTGGGTCATGCCAATCCCCCCACCCCACCAACCAGTATATATCAAGTAATTTACAAATTTTAATCGTTAAAGATGCATTATGGGAGATAAAAGAGCTGACAGTTGTCACTATAATAGTTAAAAACTAGATAATATAAAAGGAATATGCTGAAAATTTTAGTCAAATTGCTTCACTCTAAGCTGAGAAAACTTTATTTTAAATTCACTGTAATAATAATAATAATAATATCGTAATTTATAAAGCGCTTTAATACCGAAGAAAACAGTTTCTAAGGTGCTGTTGGTTTTTATATTAACTGATTATTTACAGATCAGGGTTTGAAATAAGAATGTTTTAAGTTGAGGTTTAAAATGACCCACAGAATGTAATTGTTTCATTGATTGTGGTAGTCTATTCCATAGCAAAGGACCAGCATAAGAAAAGGCACGTTTTGCAAGTTGTAAGTTAATGGCTGGAGATTTTAGAAGATGTTTTTTCTGAGAACATTTCTGCTGGTAGTATAGGGTTCTACAACCTTGATTGTAGGCAGATTTACCTCTTGCATAATTTATTTTTACTCAGTTTACTCAGTGGTGTATTTTGCAGCCCCCCCCCCCCTGTCCTCCTACCCCTCCCCATTCTGATTGTCCCACTATTCCATATGAACACTATATAAAATTACATGAGTACATTATTTAATTATTCTATTACTACAAATTGTTGAAAACAGGAACTTATGGTTGTCGTAAAAACGCTTCTCAGAAACACATAAAATAGAACAACACATGATAAGGAGTAAACCAATATCAATTAGATGCCTGTAAAAATAAATATATGTCTTTATCTTGGATAAACCTTCATGCACGGCTCGTTTATCACAAAATCAGTTTAAAAGAAAGCTTTGTTGTGTAAAATACGAACTTATTGCACCAGATGTGTATCCCGGAATTTTAAGATGAAGAGATGATGAACATCAAAGAATCCATGTGATAAATATGTAGATGTTGTTAGTAATTATCAACCCATCCTTGTTGTGAATGATTAGGAAGGGTGCTAGTTGATTATACAAGATGAATTGTTGTATAATGATGTATGAGACTGAGAGAGAGAGAGAGAGAGAGATGAATTGCTTCACAATGATGTACCAGACTGAATTCCTTACAGAATGATTACTCCTTTTAAAGAGATTTTAACACTTCCCAGATCCTCTCTGGTTTGAGAAATGAAATGAAATGGGATTTAATGTCCTACTGTTCTGCTCCCACTGGTCTTTCTTGTACCAGTGAGGGGGCCACGGTGGCTCAGTGGATAAGATGTTGGAGGTCCTGTGTTTGATCCCTGCATAGGTTGAGAAAGTTCATTGGGATTTTCCTGCATGGTTCCTCCTTGTCAGTGGTGCAGGACTGAGGGGACAACGTATAGTACATTGTAGTTCAGACGTGATGAAAAACCGAGGTCCTATGTACACATTGGCATACATGTTAAAAATCCCATGGCATGGTTGGAATTTGATATAAATGTAAGAGTAGACCTTAGTGCCGCTGTCCGAGCAAAATTTCCCTCATAACACATTATATGGCATATTCCTGTCTTCCTTAGCCCTGTTGGAGCAGAACAGTAGGACGTTAAACCCCCATTTCATTTCATTTCCTTTATTTAAAAACTGATATTATTTATAAATACTCTGAACATGTGGAAACAACAAAATGTGGGAACAAATGTGGTGAAATAAAATTGTCATGAAAATACTAGAGATTTTCTGAATGGAGGATATGTTTTATCAAAAGTTGTCTATGAATGTGTTCCTTGATAATAACAAGATATTGTAATTACTTGTAATTGTGTAGTGACTATCTGTAATATGTACTACTGACTGTCTATAATGAGACAGTCCTATAGATAAGTTGAAGATTTATAATACAGTGAACAGATTAATTCTAGTAAATTGCTAATTACAAGGTCTCATGTTATCAATTTTATTAACTACTTTCTCTCTCTCTCTCTCTCACCACAGGAGGGTTGGATGGCCGAATGGTTAGTGAATGGTTAGTGCGTGTATTCGATTCCCCGCTTGTACGTGACAAGGAGTAGGGGCGCCTGTCCAACCTCATGGGGTTTCTCTGGGTTCTTTGGTTTCCTCCCACTGCTGAAGATCCCTACGTGAAAGCGAATTAATGAAATAAAATTGAACCATATGTTAGTCCAGAAATGACTTGGTTTGTCTCAAGTGAAGGTTAAAACTCTCTCTCTCTCTCTCTCTCTCTCTCTCTCACCAACCTTATATTCATGACATAAATATAACAGTCTCTCTGTCTCTCTCTCTCTTCTCTCACACTTCATCTCACCATCCTTATATTTTATTCATGACATAAAAATAAGCAGGTTTTTGTCTTGATGCAAATAAAGAGGCTTCTGAAATAAAATGTAGACAACTTCTGACACGCAGTAATTCACACCTAATTACTAGAGACTAAAGAATGTGCATGTTGTTTAATAGAAGATTATTTTGAAGGAAATAAAAAAAGTTTGCTGTTTAATTAATGTCAAGAAAAAACTATAAAAAACTTATAAGGCTACATGTATGTACAACAGACATAAATATCAAAATATAATGATACTGGAATGTTGATATCTGTATACAACATAAATAGACTTTAATTATGTTATTAGACAAAATTGTACTACATAGAAAAATCTTACAATTTCAAATTATGAAAGCAAAAAAAAACATGATATTGGAATGTTGTTGTCTATACGACTTAGAAGAAACTATGTTGCATCAAAAAATATCAAAAGGACATGTACATAATAAACTGTACAGGGGACACTACATGTACATATACTGTATAATGAACTGTACAGAAAACACATACAGCAACACAAAAAAGTTACAATAACTTTAATTATTAGTATACAAAATGGGAAATGGGAAATTCTTTAGGTGTGTGTTGGTGTTCGATCCCTGCATTGGCCGAGAAAGTTCATCCAGATTTTCCGGCATGGTTCCCCCTTGTCAGTGATGCAGGACGGAGGGCCTGACAAGGACAGCTGTCTAGTCTTTCGGAGGGGGCAAAAAACCGAGGTCCTGTGTATATATTGGAATGCACATAAAAGATCACCTGGCAGATGGAATACGATATAAGAGTAGGCAATAGTGTCGCTGCTAGGGCAAAATTTCCCTCATAGCACACTGTATGGCGTATGCCCGTCTTCATTAGCCCAGCATAGGAGCAGAACAGCAGGACGTTAAATCCCATTTCATTTCATTTCATTTATAATGGTGGGAGGGGGATTATATAATTTATACTGTTATCTATGTATATATTAATTACAATGCATACTAGTTATATCTGTATATATGTATGCTTTTGGCTATAGGAAACTTTTTGCTTCACCTGTAATAAAAGTTCAATAAAGTTCAATCAACATCAATATTTTAAATTGTTGGCAGGTCTGGTTAGGCAAAACAGAGATATTTTAAGGCCAGTCTAACATAAATGATATAACACATACGCAACAGGACTTGACACATTTCATACACAAAATAACCTATCACATTTGGTAATTAATTGAAAATCGTTGTTGGTATGCTAGTCCGGGGGGCATGGCCGAATGGTTAGCATGTGCAAGTTGTCCGTCATAACTATTGTCGCCTGTCCAACCTCGTGGGTTTTCTGAGGGTCCTTCGGTTTCCTTCCACTACTAAAGACCCCTATACACAAGGGAATTAATGAAATAAAATTGAACCAGGTGTAAGTCCTGAAATGATCTAGTTTGTGTCGAGTGGTGGTTAAATCCCATCTCTCTCTATCTTGGATCGCGGGGTATATCTAAAATTTGTATCCACGAAAAATTGTATCCACACGAGTCCACGGAAATGAGCCCATTTCTCTCTCTCTCTATCTCTCTCTCGCTCTCTCTCTCTCTCTTTCTAGAGGAAAGTTCGATCACGGTATATCTAAAATTTGTATCCACGAAAATTGTTTCCATATGAGTCCACGGAAATGAGCCCATTTCTCTCTCTCTCTATCTCTCTCTCTCTCTCTCTCTTTCTAGAGGAAAGTTGGATCACAGGGTATATCTAAAATTTGTATCCACGAAAATTGTATCCACATGAGTCACGGAAATGAGCCCATTTCTCTCTCTCTCTATCTCTCTCTCTCTCTCTTTCTAGAGGAAAGTTCGATCACAGGGTATATCTAAAATTTGTATCCACGAAAATTGTATCCATATGAGTCCACGGAAATGAGCCCATTTTTCTCTCTCTCTATCTCTCTCTCTCTCTCTCTCTCTCTTTCTCTCTTTAGTCCAATAAATGTAGAAATAAATGTAGGATATACATTATACACTATTTCATTTCTGTAATGAAGGATATGTAAAATTAGCAGCTACTTGTAACAATTAACAATAACACACCCTGTTATTATATTACACACAATGTTTTCAATATAATCTGACCTTTCAACTTGTTAAATATAACCTTTAACACTTGTTAAATATAACCTTTAACACATGTACCAATGTCAATCATTTAATACATTTTTTAAAAAAAGTTCAATGGTAAAACTGTTGTGTGCTTCAGAATTGTGTAAAATGTGATTGAGTAACTTTTCTCAAGAATTATCTTGACTACTTCAATAGTCTATTTCATATTAAAGGGGCATAATGGGAGATTAGATAATGTAAAGAGAATATGCTGAAAATTTCAGTCAAATTGCTCTACTCAGAATCAAGATATTAGCGATTGAATTTTAGGTCTTGCATAATACCTGTTTAACAAATCCAGAATTTCATATCTTTCTCTGACTGCTTGAGAAAATGGATTGCAATTCCATAAACCCTTTTTATATTACCACTTTTAAGTGTGCCAGGAACGGTTCCAAGAATGGAATGTTTAGATTTAGAGCATTGTAAATATGCCAAATTTAAGGATTCTGTTCATAGATCGGTTCCAATCAAGACCATTGACTGAAGGTGGCCTTTGAATGGTTCTGAGAACGATTTTCTGCACATTTGTGAATATTAACCTGGATCCTTTTTCCCCACAAACTTGTAATATGGGTATTGAATATACATGTAGACTACAATACAACTATTTGATTTGGTCTCCTCTAGTAACATGATATCATTGATACTTTTAGTAGACTGTCTACAATGTCTGAATGGTAGTGGGTGGTAGCTAATGTAACCTTTTGTGAATGTTTTCATCACATATGCCTAAGGTGAAATGAAATGAAATGGGGTTTGTTCTGCTCTGTACTGGGCTAATAAAGAAGGGCATAGGCCATACAGTGTGCTATGAGGGAAATTTTGCTCGGACAGCGGCACCACGGCCTACTCTTATATCGAATTCCAACTGTCAAGGGATCTTTTACGTGCACGCCAATGTTTACACAGGACCTCGCACTTCCATTCCATACTTCCATTCCATCACTGACAAGGGGGAACCATGCCAGAAAATCTGGATGAACTTTCTCGGCCAATGCAGGGATCGAACACCCGACCTCTAGGCTAGCGAGCCAGCGTCTTACCCACTTTGCCACTGTGATCCCCCTGCCAAAGAAATGTAGAACGTTAAATCCCATATGTAAATCTATAATAATATCATTTAATCAAAGTGATTCTTTTTTTTCAGTTAGGGTGAAACATGTCACAGTTTGATTCCCTCTTGGATTTTGGGGATTCCCCACCTTCGGCAACCAATGGATCAACTGGACAAAATTTGGATGAATTTGACCCTTTTTCGCCAACGTCCCCCTCTGTGTCAGTGGAAGGGAAAACTACAACAGTTCAAACTGGAAATCTTTTAGATTTTGGTTTTGATTCAACGGTAAGTTTATTTGTTGTTCACAAACAGTTGGGCATTTATTTACTCCATTATTAAAGTTGGGTATTGGATTTTGCTTAGAGTTTCTTGCGAAGAGTGATAATTGCTATTGAATTATGATAATCAAAATAAATGCTAAAACAAATCTCCAGATTTAAGTGTAGCAGAGAATATGGGATGGATTGTGTGATTGTTGGTATATCTAGGGATGTCTAGAGTGTTCTGTCCCTTGGTGTCTCAAATTTAGATATTCCTCCTACTGACTTGGTTTGTCTCACTCAATATAGATAGAGGTGTATGGATTCCACAGCTGTGATCGCAGGTTTGCATCTTGTCATATAAGCAAGAACCTTAGATCTGAACAAAGAAATGATGACAGAACAACACAACATGAATTGAAAACTGAAACAAAACTTCAGTACCGACCACTGTGTTCAACCTTTTTGACTTCAGATATTTTTATTTGTATTTTAGTGTGTCTACCAAGGAGTGTATCTATATTAATTTTAATTTTGAATAATAACCAAGCTTACCATTTTACTTTGTGAAGTCTTTATCACCATAGACCAACCATTTTCATAATGCTAGTATTCTAATTTCTTCTACCAATGCTGAAAAATATAGAATACCTTCTGAATAGATGCATGTATAACCTGTCAAAGATTGAACTATATAAAACATGTTGTATGTGCCAGCTCACAGCATGTACCTGTCTTGAGAATGTATCCTACTAGTCTTTTAGGCATTACCTCCTGGACAGGTTTTAATATATAGGGGTTTGGGTGGCGAAGGGGTGACATGCACGTTAAATCATAAGGTCTGTCATTAAGTCAAGTGGCATGGTTTAGATTCCCCTGATGTACGTGACAAGGAGTAGGGTTGCCTGTTCAACTTCATTGATTTTCTCCAGGTCCTCCGGTTTCCTCCCACAGCTAAAGACCCCTACGCACAAGCGAATTATTGAAATAAAGATTGAACCATATGTTAGTCTCGAAATTACCTAGTTAGCGTCGAGTGGACGTAATCTCTCTCTCTCTCTCTCTCTCTCTCCCTCTCTCTGATATATATTTATACTTACCAGCATCAATATTATTATATCAAGATACACTTGTACAACTATTGATTTCAGTATTTCAAAATACCTTTACTAAACAATTCAAATTGTTTTCAGATATATTTATATATATATTAAAATCTATTTGATTGGTTGGGTCTGTTACATTATTACAATTAAAGTATTTTTATACGCGCAAAATAGAAATTTATTGAATATTCTCCATTTAGTGATGTATTGCGTACCATTTAATCGTAGTTAGAATTTTTACCAGTGAACACTTGGATTTGTTGCCTAGGTTGTTGTACACGTTGTAATTGTCTCATAGCTTACAGTGTCCATGTTTCGTCTAGTTGTTGTCCGCGTGTTTATCGTGTAAGCTTCTAGTTTCTCCTCCACTTGCCATGGAAGCTTACAGAAAGACCTTGTATCTGTTTATTTTATTTGGTAGTCATTTGTGATTTTGTGTGTTCAAGTTTGTTTGTTAAAGCAAATACCAATAAATAGAACTACAAAAAAAAGTCATAGAAGTTGGTGAAAGCGAACAGCCGGATCTAGGATTTGTTCGTTTGAGTTAATCGTCATCTTACGTTGCTTACAGTGTCTGTGTTTTGTCCTGTGGTTGTTGAGTATGGTACTCGGTACAATTAAAATAAATTAGTTTAGTACATGTACAACTTTAATTTGTGTTATTAATGGGTCGTACCCTCGGAACTCTTATATTTCGTGTGAAAACAAATAACATTTAAAAAATTTGGAATAAGTCCAAAAACTTCGAGGCTACATGTATATCATGCACCAAATCTCTTTTAACTTTTGAAGTAAATTAGTTTAAAATACCATATATGGAATAGGCCTATTTCTGTCAATTATCGTGTCTGGATCAGTGTCAACGTTTGAGTAATTTGGTCAGGTGTTGTCGCTAAATAAGGCAAGATGAGTTACGATATGTACAGTAGAACTTTTCCGTTTCGTCGAAGTCGAAGAAGACAAGTCTGTGTTGTAAGAGTTCCTATTTGGGTAAGTAATATAAGAGAGTGGCTATGAAGACCTGGTCATCCCGGGTGTCAGTGACCAGTTTCCTTCGTATTAAACTCTTCAGACTGATTAGACTTACATGGCGGGTGGTATTATTTATAATATTCTCAACTCAATGACAGAACTCAATGACCATTGAATACCTCTTGGGTTATTCAATGGTTCACTCAAGTGTATCCCTGCGCAAGTATTCCATGAGCGATAGCGAATATTCAATTTCAATTGATGATCACCTTTGGGATCTTTAGAAAATGAGTATTTTTTTTTCCATGATTTGTTTCTTTATTTCTAAATATAAGTTCATTGATTTAGTTGAATGAATATTATCAAATATTTCGTAGAAACGAAAAAAACACGAGGTCAAATACCATTTGATTCAATCTTATTAAAATACAAATCTATATTTCGTTGCATTCTTTTAAACATTTGATGGCCTCCACTACATGAAGATCTGACTTGTTGTAGTGGAAGGTCACGTCAGAGGTCATCTGAGCTGCTTTTGACCCTATGACGTCAGACATTGATTAATCAATCAGCGTTGATGTTTCTAGTGGGTTACCCACAGTTTCATGCACCTCACGCCAAAAACTCTCCGTAACAGACCGTTTCATTGGCTAATCCCACACATCATCCAGAATGTAGGTTATATACATGTAACAACTCTTCCAGATCCTAATGTTGTGAAGACAAGTTTGAACTATAAAAAACAAAACGAAATAGGATCTGTGTTTTCATCAAATTCCGTTTGATTTAACTGACATTAAATAATGAATACTAAGAAACAGACACTGAGATGACAACCTTTGATCTTTACCTAGAAGTAACATTTGATAAAGGTTGAAATACAGAATATTACTAAGATCTGCTTGCCATATTGATATATATACTTTACTACATGCCTTGTGTTGTTTTTAATGCAGGTGTACACAGTACAAGTACATTCTGTCAACATTTAGACCATCATGTGTAGAACACATATATATATTGCCTTTGTATATTTATATTCCCCAGTCCGGTTGTATGTGACAAGGAGAAGGGTTGCCTGTACAACTTCGTGGGTTTTCTGTGTCTTCCGGTTTCTTTCCTCTGCTAAAAGACCCCTACATGCAAGCGAATTATTGAAATAAAATTGAACCATATGTTAGTCCCAATATGACCTAATTTGTGTCAAGTGGACCTCTCTCTCTCTCTCTCTCTCTCTCTCTCTCTCTTTTTTAAAACTTGATAACCAACCTTGCTCTGTGATAATTTGTTATATGGACTAAGACTAGTAATTATTTCCCCTTATTTCATGATGGACGAATGTAGTGCGAGTTATAAATAGACAATTTTTCCCTTAATTTTTTTCTCCCCTCTTCCTGCATTTTTGGGTTGACTTTTTGGTCTAGAATTGGAGAAAAGGGATCAAATTTGCAATTTCATAGCAGTTTTGGGTAATACTGATGATATTACAGCGGAGGGATAGGGGGTGTAAAGTGTCTTTCTGCAGAGCAATCATTGTGTCGGAAGTGAGATTTTCACCCCTGTCAACTTCAAATCCGTGTAGCAAAAAATCTAAATGGTCAACCCCCTACAAAATTATGATGAGGAGATTGCCAATTGTTGTCCCCATTGTGCCTATAAAGATTGGAACCAACGGAATGTTGAGCAAAAAGCTACAGCCTGTGATGTTACAGTCATTTAACATTGAAGTCAATGGACAAATAATTGCTAGTCTGAGTCCATATCAGATCTTTAACATCATTGATATTTTCTTTCAAAACTAAAAGAAAGTAGAATATCGACGAAGCCACCAGCTTTTCTTGATATGTCTCGTGTAAATTATCGTCAGACCAATTGATTTTCTGACACAATATTCACGCTAAATTAAAGTTCCCAGATATTAATATTGACAGGAATGTAAAAAACAACTTTAGTTTACAAGAACATGATTAACTTAGTTTTCTGGAAGTTAAATAAAAATTATTTATTGATCCAAAACATATTTGTGTGGTGTGTGACAAGGAGTAGAGTCGCCTGTCCAACCTCATGGTTTTTGTCCGGGTCCTTCGGTTTCCGTCCACTACTAAAGACTCCTACGAGCAAGCGAATTATTGAAATAAAATTGAACCATGTGTTGGTCCTGAAAGGACTAGTTTGTGTCGAGTGGACGTTAAACCCAATTTCTCTCTCATATTTGTGTTGTAGAGTCTAGATTATTACAGGGTGCCATTTTAGATTCACTAATTTATAAAACTGAATGTTAATTTAATTGTATGGGAGACAATATTTGCAATAAATATATGCCGATTGAATGCACACACAGCCATATGCATTATTGAAGGGTGCAGGACAGGGGGTCTGACAAAGACGGCTGTCTAGTCATTTCAATGGGACAAAAAACCAAGGACCTGTGTATACATTGGCGTGCACATTAAAAATCCAATCGTAGTTGAAATTCGATATAAGAGTAGGCCGTAGTGCGCTGCCCAGGCAAAATTTCCCTCATAGCACACTGTATGGCGTATGCCCGTCTTCATTAGCCCAGTCAGTGTAGAACAGTAGGATGTTAAAGTCTGTTTCATTTCTGTCTGGCAGTCACAAAATGGTTGGCAACTACTTAATTGAAACAAGGATTATCTGGAGATGAACTAAGGCTAATTATTGGACAAATAAAAACAGGTCGAAAGGGAAATGATCTGGTGAGTGTGCTGTATTCATGTACTGTTTGTTTGATGTGTTGACTGGAAGTTTAACAAAGTAGATAAATAGACAACCGCTTGAAATGTGGACAACTGTGAAATTGACTTCTTAATTTCTCAGGGGGGGTGGATGGCTGAATGGTTAGCATGTGTGCTCTGTATCATTATGTCTGTCATTGAGTCAACTGCCGTGGTTTCGATTCCCTGGTTGTACCTGACTAGGAATAGGATCGCCTGTCCAGCCTTTTGGGTTTTCTCCGGGTTCTCAGGTTTCCTTCCACTGCTAAAGACCCCTCCGCTTAAGCGAAATATTGAAATAAAATTGAACCATATGTGTTAGTTTCAAAATGACCTAGTTTGAGTCAAGTGGACATGAAACCCCATTTCCCTCTCTCTCGCTCTCTTTTTAATTTTTCATGTAGTTTAAACTGAAATATTGAGTATGGAAATATTTATAGAATCGAAAAATCCCATCTTCTATTTCTGGTGTATCTTGTGGATTTACTGAAAATTGTTGGTTTGGCTTCAGCTAAATTTAGAGAACTAATTATTTCCATGGAGACAGGAAGTATTTAATCGGGACAGGAAATATTCATATTATGTGTAATGATTTTATTTTTGACAAGATCAGCAAAAAAAGTACTTTTAAATGTTCAAATGTTATTAGGGGGGTTGGATGGCTGAATGGTTAGCGTGCACGCGCTGTATCATAAAGTCTGTCATTGAGTCGACCGGCGTGGTTTCGAATCCCCGGTTGCACGTGGCAAGGAGTAGGGTCGCCTGTCCAACCTCGTGAGTTTTCTCCGGGTCCACCGGTTTCCTCCCACTGCTAAAGACC